GCTTTTTTCTCTAGTCCCTCTGTTATTCTCTGATTTTTTTCTTCAACTGTGAATGTATCAAAAGTTTATCCTTGCGGCAAGTGCACAGCTTTGTTTCAAACGCGTGGCAGTATCTAAAGCGGGCTGATTATTGAAATTGATAGACAAAGCGATAGACGAAGAAGACTAAATATACATGAAGGGATCCCATTGGTGGAAACGGTGGTTGCGATGGACATAGGAGGTGGGTAATAGATTAACGGCAACCCACGAGAGATCCTATAGCTCCTATAAATTTCTCCCTCAGTCTATGTAAGAGCCCTTCTTTTCAACCAATAGGATCGCTCAATACTCCCTAGGTCTTCTTTGTCTATCGCTTTGTCTATCAATTTCAATAATCGGCCCACAGGAGAGTTCCTAACCATGATAGTTAGATAAGTGACCTATTTTGATGGATAAATGACATTCATGCAGCACAGATATCTACTATACATAGAGATTTTTTAAAACCTCACATGACCTTCTTTTATGTCATAAAAGATGAGTTTTTATTCGGAATTCCGAACTTAAATACTCACCAACCGTTCTTATTCAGTGGCGTCCGAATGAAATTTCCTCGAGGGTTTTGTCGATCAGGATCATTCGATAGAGATAATACTTAGAAATGATTTTCGGAAAACATCGAGTTTCATGGAGCGTACGGTTCATCGCAAAATTTAGTTACGTCCTCGTGTACAGGAGTCAGGAGGCGACGAAATGATTAATTGCAGCTACGTTGTTGCCAGATAAGCCCAGAAAATTGCATCTTTTTCGCCCATACAGGTCATAAGGTCTCTTCCTAAGTTTGGAGACTTAAACGAGCGGTATAGAAAAGTAAACCATGAAAGCTCCTCTGATGGTCTTCTTTGCAAGTTTAAGGCTTTTTACTTTTTGCTGAAAGATGATTATTGCAATTTACCCAACCACTGAGGCCACGGACCCATCAAATTTTCTTATATTGATGAAAGCTTTGTTCCGATAAATAGGTAAAAAATGAAAATAAACGCGTTGAAATTTTAAAACCACCCAGTGCGACACACACACACAAAAAAAAGAAGAAAAAGGGGGGGGGGGGNGGGGGGGGGGGGGGGGGACTCAGAGTTTGTAAATTCGTGTGAGACAGTCAGTGTTTTTCGAGCAAGTTGCTTTGCCTAGATCGATTATATTTCTATTGGAATTAAATATACTTTTTTTATACCTTTATTTCATTTTTTGGTAGAACAGTGCAATCAGTCTGAGTATGTATACGCGTGCGCAAATTACATTGTTCAGCCTCATTGAGACAAGTCTATAATACAAAATATTGGTTTTATCGATTCTGGATGTGCACTATGAGCTGGAGAGGACAATCAGCTTCAATTAAATCAATGTCGCCAGTTGTTTGACCTCGTAGGGGCCGCTTCAATTGTGCAGAATATCAATCTAAGGAAGCAACGCATCCCATTCAGCTGTGAAGTGACAGGGAGGCAGCTGTCTTTCATTGCCACTAAATCCCATTCGAAGAAGACAGAAAAAAAGGCGACGGAGAATCAGTCCGCACAATCTTTGGCAACTTACAGGTTATGCAAGCGTGGATCATTGTATAGAGCAATCTTAACTGATCTCTTAATTCGTTTCATACACGCCAGGATTATGCAATCTGTACGCGAAGCTCCTGCAATGATTGAAATCAGAGCCTACATTGGTCATTGATCAGGTTCCATCCTACCGTGATAAGGAAAAACGGCGTATGAACCAGTGGTGAGGCGTGAATGATCGATTATCGTTATTTACCCTTTTAATGCTTTGGTAAAGAATCGATCATTGAGGTGTTCGTTGCAAATACCCTATTTGTCGATCCTTTTCCGTAGGTTTAAATTGCGGATCAGTCGATGTATCGCAAAACACGCCACGCCACGAGTGTGAACATCCGGAAGTTGCCAATTTTCCACCTATACAATTTTCATTTTTTTTTAAAGGAGATTTATGAATATTTTTTCTCTATATTTTTAGATATTTCAGATTAATTTCCGGATGAACATCGCTTAAAAATTTTGAGAAAAATTTATACAAGTTTCTCCAAAAATTATATTTTATCAAAGGAATTTTGGCAACATCTGAAGGCTCATCTGGCGTTTTTTCTTAGTGAGGCAGCATGCACAACGTGGATGAGAGATTTTTCTAAATATGCATTTGTATATTGAGCATAGTTCATATTTTCTCATTGTCAGTATCGATTTCTTTGAGTTTACTCCTACGTCCTTCCTCACTTATTCATTCAACAATCGTGTTTGATGAGATTGGAAAATATGAAAACACGATTTTAACCCTCTACACGTACATTTTGCTGAATGTGTGATTATTCAGCCCAGTTCAAGTCAGTGACCGAAAGTCACATTTGGGTGTGTTAGTGCTAAAACGAATTATGCTGTACGGAAACCATATACACTTTAGTTCCTTTTCGCGTAAATACGTCCATTTGTGGTAGGTGGACAAATTGTGCGAGGCAAAACGATGGCATGCCAGTTGAGGGTTACTGTCTGCATAATTTTAATCACAAAAGCAATTTTCAGGTTTCATTTTCCATACATCCTTACTGCTCTAACTCTTCTGATCATATTTCCAAAATCCTATCCAAAATCGGGTGGGAAAATATAAACATAATCCAAATATCACGCAAGACGTAACGATTGAAGAAAGTACTTTTGGGAGTCGTAGACCACGACTTACGCTTTGCTTCGAAATCACTCATAATTAGACACTGTATAGCAAAAAGAAACAATCTACCAATATGAGGAGCTCGTAAAACATAGTATAAATAATTTTAATCCTATATTAGGCACGTGTTGTTTTTTGTTTTTTTGGTTTTTTTTTTTTTGGGGGGGGGGAGAAGAAGAAACTCCCACTCTGAATGAAATTTTTTATTTCATTAAATTGTTGCATTAATCCGTGCGAATTTTAGGAATGTAGCATTTATTAGAACGAAACAAATTTAACTGAACCTCATAGCCTATAACTATTTTTTCAGATTTCTTAATTTTCATGAAAAAACTACACATGGAATAAAACGTCGGAAATAATTATGAAACTAACAACTCGTCTTTAATACTCATATTTTTTATCGTATTTTAACTCCCATGTTCCACCCACTTCTTTACTTCCTTCTTCCCACGTTAACTATACTAGTACCGAGCGCCACCTCAGGTGTCAATCGTCTTCCGATTACACTGGGAAGTGGCACCATCCGGTTGGATTAAAACAAGAAAGATGACAGGTGGGAAACTATTTTCTTGTAAGGTCATCGAAATAGAAGACAATGCTCGTTTCTCGTTGTTGTATAACTAATGCCACTTAGTGGCTCTTTAGTCTAATCGTCTCTTCTCTTTATCTTCGTTTACTCTTTCGTACGAATGCGAATTTAAAGGGGCCCCATCAAGTGATTACGCAAGAATGCAGTCGTTTTGATGGATGTCAAGTGTCTCAGAATTTGCGGCGAAAAATAACGAAAATTCGAGTGTGGAGCAAATTTGATCGAATTTCAATCCATATAGGATTGTATCCATATGATTGTAAATTCCTCTATTTTGCATAACAGGGATGGATTATGTAGTGACCTAGATTTTTTCCAAGGACAAGGTTAAACGTGTGATGCGATACCTAAGCGGATGACAAAGCTCACGATTTTCCGGGAAGATCAATTTCATATAATAGTAAATATTGCGTGCCCGCGTGTAAAACTGGTAGAAAAGTTGCAAAACTTTGTCAAACTTTGATTTTTCTTATTTTTTTTTACTAAATAGGGTTCCATCTTGAATGATATTTTTGACATCACCGCCTAATTGCCGCATAGTTATAATGATAGTTTTTCGCAGTTTCATCTAAGACCAAATACGGAATTTGAGTCCGTATCCGTATGAATTGATCTCGGAAGGTTTTATTTGATCAACATACAACCTATGACTGTCAAAATAAAGAATCTACCAGTGATCGAGTGAGGCCTTGATTACTGCTTAGAGCTACGTAAAAGAATTACGCAATCTAGGAAAACACGAAATCAAGTACGACTACATCTTCGCCAAAAACCAAGAATATGCGTGGCATTTGCAAAGTGGTTAAGTGTCGTTTTTGTAGTCGCGCCTTGAACAGCTCCTTTCCTTAAGAGGCTCCAGTTGGTTTCCATTCTGATCAAGGGAGGTTTATAAAAGCCCTCAAAATAGCATCCAACCTCGAGTCAAATAATTTAGGAATACATTTGGAAGTGGGTCCTCGAGAGAGATTTCAATTATCTACCAGTACAAATAATACAAAGTACGAAGTAAAAACATTACGAGTTTTGTAAATTTTGAGGTAGGCTAAAACCTACCTCACAGTTTGTAAAAAATATGGAATTTTTTCCGAATTTTATATTTTCTGTAGTGGCAAATCATCGTAATCTCTGCAAGGTTCCATTTTCAGGGTTATACTGCTGAATTTTTACTCCAGATCCGTAAAAATTGTCCTTTTTACTATGCTCTTTTCAGAGCTTCCTTAAGCTTCCCGTAATCACAAGGTAATGCACCAAATAAATCAGTTGTTTCCAAAAGGGAACAAGTCCGTTTTTGCATGAGCCTTGGCTTGCATAAAAAGAGATGCTAACCATGACTCATCGAGGAATGGACCTATTTCATTTTAAAACCAACTGATTCAAATTGATTCCTGATAAAATTGAATTGAATTGAGGAAAATTGATAAGATTGAATTGAATTGAAAAAAATGTATAAAATTGAATTGATTCCTTGATAGACTGATTCCTTTAACTGATTCAAATGAGGAATCCTAAGAAAAGAGGCTGTTTAAGGAGCTGAGTATGAATATGACTCTAGTGGTTTGATTATCATTTCAAGTTTTGACAATCGGATTTCTTGGCCATATGTATATTAAGTCGATTAGCCTATACCATCCATTTATTCTTATCGAACTTTCTTTGCCCCGTTATAATCTTTCGTTCCTCTCTTGTGTTTCAGTTATGTCCGGTAGCACGGGCGACAGTAATGACCAGATCATTCAAGACATCCTTAATGGAACCACCGGTGAGTAACCTAAAGACTGGTATATCTTACTCTATAATAGAAAATCATAAGAATAACGCATAACGTATAAAACATAACGCCGAGCGGTAAAATCGGCCCCAAGCGTCTGGTGATTGGGCTGTGCTCCAGAAAACCTCTGGTGAAAATCGATTCAATTATTAATGAAACTTTATAAAATATTTCAAAAATTACTATTAGAGCTTACAAATTGTTTTTTTAAATTATTTTTTATTTTACCGATTAATTATCTCCAAGATCGATTTTGGAGGCTTTGATTGAGGAGCGAATTTAAGAACTGCAAACAAGGTTCTGGTTCATGTTTATTTCTAGCTCGTCAATCAACGCGTGAAAATAGACGTAGGTGCAAAGTACTGAAGTTTGTACCAGTTGGGCTAATTCGGAGAGTACAATGAACGGTTTGTAGGTTACTCCATCAAATAACGAAAAAAGGCAATCGCATACATCATAAAAGTAGACGATTTTGGTGCTACGCTCGTAAAGTCATCAAAGTTCAAGGACTCCACTCAAAGCACCTGACATAACAGGGAAAATTTAGTGGCCCACGAAAAAGACGTGTGCCATTTTCTCTTGCAAATGAAGGCACGTGAACTCAACAGGTTATGCAACCGACTTAAAAGATATTGAGCATCCAAACTCCCTCAGCCTCTCATCATTTGGAATGCCGACTCCCGATCAGCTTGCACTCGGACTGTGTCAAGCTATCGTTTTTGGAATGTAACTTTGAATCAGATCTGCGAAGTTTCCATTCCCAAAATTTATTTTTCCAAGAAAAGTGTCGGTAACTCCCAACTATATATTTTTTTGATTTTTCTTCCGACTGCACGCAAAAGTAAAAAATAAAAAAATTGGACAGAAATAGCACAGCCATATTCTTGTGAAAAATTAAATTGTTTGAACCACTGTTCCAACCTTAAGATGTACTTACGTTCATCGTCTGGGAAACTACGAATTGGGGAAAATCTGAAACCGCCGGAAAAATGAGCCCCCTCAACGGAATTTTGGCTCGCAAGTTCACAGTTGTTGATACTTCAAGGACTGAGAAATGATCATATTATCATATTGCTCTTTGACTTTTTTGACTGCAACTTTTGATGCGTATGTGGTGTATGTTTCAATGTGTGATAGTTAGAATTAAAGTTCGCACTGCAACACGTAAACGATGAACAATGACATTGTTCTGGATCATATTCCGAAATCCAAAAACAATGGGCTCATAGAGGGACGATATCACCTGTTATGATAGCCACCAAATTCATCGAAATTGGTCCAGTAGAACGGTAGAACAAATCGTGGCCAAAGGGGGAAATTTAGGGGGTCAGAAAGCTTCTAGTAATGATGAATGAATAAAAACGAGACACTAAAGACGGAAAATTTGACTATCTCCTCTGGCTGTGTGCCAATATTTTAAAATGACTGCATCGTTTCGAAATTCGCGTGTACTCGTAATTTCCACACGCTTTAGTTGATTATAAAGAAAGAGGCCTAGTAGAGCGACAAAATTTCAGTCAATGTAGGGACAAAGTTTTACTTGCTTTCTTATATGTATTTTAGATCCTAAGCATACAAAACTGGTTGCGAATCGGCCATACTTTTTTCTCTCATTCTCATTTAATCTCAAAATCTCCAGTTCCTTTATGCTCTCTATGTCAACACTCCCCCCTAACAATCGACCATATTTTACTTTCTTGCCCTAAAACCTATGCCACACGTATCAAAATTCGAAGTTCCCTCCCTCTTAACATCCACCCATTGTGTTCAGATAGTCCAATGGTAGTAACAGAAATTTTAAAACTCTTCAAGAAACTTTTAAAAATTTAAAATTGCCTAGTCCCCGACGTAAATAGCCTAGATGCTGATCGTCGTTAACTAAAACTAACTAACTAACTAACTGGTTAATGTTTGAAGGCTTTTTACATTGCATAAGACGCTCTTCCTGTTCGCGCTTGGCACATGCTCCTCGCACAAGTCCGTCATTCGCCTTATCATCTATTCGGGGCCTGTCTTTCATTTTCCTTTAGGCTTGAGAACCTACGGAATCTTCCGACTTTAAACGGTGGCGACTAATTGACGCATCTATTTTCCCCCCTTTTTCCATCTCTACTAATGTATCTTTCTCGAGGTTAACTTGTGCTTGAAAGTGTTTAAGTACTCGCAGCGTCATACCGTCGTGCTAAGAGAAAACGTCGTATGAATAATCCAACGCTGCCAAATTTCTCGCGATAATTCCTTTCTTTTTTAAGAAAAGTTTTGAATATTTTTCCTCTTAATTTCTTGATAATTGGAATTAAATAGCGAATTCTGCCGTGCTAAGGAAGAACACCGTACGAGCATTCGAGAGTTGCCAAATCCCCCCAAATAAAAAAATGTATTTTTGAAGAAAGTTGTGCCTATTTTACCTGGAGATTTTCAGATATTTGAAATTAAATTGCGAACCAAATTTGTCAGAAAAATTGGAGGAAAAATATTCAGAATTTTCCGGGAAATTCGTTTTGTATTGAAGAAAATATGGCAACGCCTGAATGCTCATACTGCGTTTTTCCTTTAAGCACGGCAGAATTGGTATCCATCCAAAATAAAATCGGCAACCTCTGAGGGTTCATACACCGTTCTTTCTTAGCACAGAGGAGGGTACTTACCCTTTTTCTATCTTCAAAGCCTGTCCTGAAAAGATGCAAATTTTGTATTGCGTTTGTGTTCTCGAGCAGGAGCAAAATAAGATCCCGCTTGAGTTTTTTTTCTATAAAACCTTAGTGAAAAATTTTCCTATCCGAATAAGGCAAGAATAATTCAACAACGATTTTATAGAGGAAGAAAGAATTGTTAATTTGGCTAACTCTGTGAGAAAACTGAAGTCAAAATCATACATAATTGTTCCTAAGAGACTACAGGAGCTGAAAGAGCATTTGCAGCCAACAATTTTATGGAATTTTGTGTCGTAACACCTTCTAAAAGTTGTGTTCACAATCTGCGAACGTGCATTTGAAATTGAGTTCATCCGAGTTGATCGTCGTTTTCAAAAATGCTACTTTTACTATTCACATATTATAATACGACAGGAATGATGATCAATGGAGTTACTTCTTGAACTGTTTGGGGAGTTTTCTGAAATTCCGTACCATTTGTGAATTGACTAAAGCATTAATTCATTTAAAACCAGAATCGTCTAAGTTACAACTGCACCCCTTCACTCTCACACAGAAAATTATTATTTCAGTATAAAATAATATTCAGGGTTCATTTTGTTGCTCTGTTTTGTGAATGTAAAGTTGATCGAAATTTGAACGAGTAATTAAAAGAAATTACATGCCTGAAAAATTTCGAAACCTTCAAGATCAAGAATAGCATGCATCTACTTCTGTTAATTCGCTCTGCAAATGCTACGTCGGACGTGGCTGTTAGCCGCAAGTAAGTCAGGAAACATGAATTTCCTTCAACGGATCGTGTAGGCAGCATGCATTTTGATGTGGTGGTAGAGTTGTATGCAGCGCGTTTGAAGGCGCTCCGTTAACCACGATTTAAACACATACAATATCAATGTGCGAGACTGAGAAGTCTTCAAAAACGATGTGGGCAAGGTTACCGCGCTGGTACGCGCTGTACCTCGAATTATGTTTGATCATTTCCCTAAAAAATTAGCATGTTTTTGGCCTGTCTCATAGCATTTGCACCACATCTTTTCCCCCCAAAACTAGACTTTATTGTGTTGTGAGGTGTAAAACCTATAACTCTCAATGATTTGCAATTTTTTTTTTTTTACTTTTTTTTAGTAATCTCTCTCCGTATTTTTCGCAGATCTCACAATTTTGAATTCACTTGCGTCATGTTTTATTGCTGAAGTGGCGGTGGCTATTTCAGGCAATTTAAAATGCACAATTAATTAACGCTATGATTTAACGTAAAAAAATGTCATTCAAACCTTTTATCTGATAAATTTCATATGCTCGATGATGTCCGAAATTCCGAATATCAATACCAATAATCTAGATTATCTGAAATCAGCTTTCGCACGCTAAACGTATCGATGCAGCAATCATTTAGGCAGTCTTAGGCTCTTTTCGATTCATTACTTTTCTTCCCCGTTTGATTCGATCCGACTTAGTTCTCGAACTTTCTGCACAAAAGTACAGTGTCAAATACCTGTGTGACGAGAGTGCGGTTTTTTAAAAGTGATAACATTTATTTATGTCACCTCAAGACCTAGACTTCAATTCTGAAGTCGAAGAAAAGCTGCAATTGTACGAAGTGTCATTAAAACTATGTAACTTACCCCCACGTCTAAATTCTAGCGTAGCAGTTTCGTAATCGTTCCTTTTGTGTGAACTGTGAAACCATCGCATCTCATATTGGTCACGCCTTATAGTGCGCCTTAAATACAATGGGTATACTTCTCGATGTACGTGTAGCTATTCTGGTGTTCGATTTGTGTACAGGTACAGGTGAGCGCAGAAGTATTCATTGGAACTTGTAGGCTAGAACGGAACTCACTCATTTGCGTTTTGTGAGATCTTTGAATGCAAGAATTGAATGAAACGTATTGTTTTGAAGATGTATGAATAACATATTTCAAAATAAATTTCAAAATTGAAAAATCAAAAATGTTAGAGGTGCCCATAAATATCACCTTCGAAATTATCCAATTGTGCAACCGGGGTATCTATCATTTCTCTGTCCCGTTTCAAAATCGATGTACTTCTCAGCTAGTTTATCCCTCGATATCGGCGCACTCTTCAACTTTTTTGTGTTACAGGTGCTTGTTTCCTTTTTTTTTTGTTTCACTTGTTGTTTTTTGCGTCTCGTTTTCCTCGGAGGAATGCAATCAAAGTTGTTAATCTTTCAACATAGATAGAAAAACGAAAAAGCGCGCTGATAAAAACACTGATTGTCAGTCAGTTTGTTTTGGTGCTTTGTCAAATCTTCTGGCCCGTTCACTTCGATGCCTTTAAATTTTGGATCCGCTTTTGTTCATCCGAGGGTTCCCT